GTGCACAATATTCTGCTGGCTTGAGGATAAATCGAGTTAGGGTAAGCGATTGCGAAGGCTATGCCGCGTCAGGGTTGGGTTTGATAATGGTAGTTATCATCGCCGGCGGTTAGTAGATTTTAATAATTCGGTTGTTAATGGTTGAGGATTGAGTGACGGTCCAGTCTTGCAAGAGAATGACGATGATGATGCTGGACTATCAATACATCTAAAATAGCGTCCTAAAACTGTGAAATCGTACATAGATTTATCCATATGTATATCGGTCACATAGATAACTTTAGGCCGCTATTATACACATATTGGCGCTAGCGAAGCACCTGTACCTAAGTATCTGCAAATAGGAAACCATTACGGAGCGATTGATAGGTAGAGAATGGCGAGAGCTTGTTGTATGAGGACATGCTAGCTGCCGTGCTAGAATTACAAATGGCATCTCACACCCCTTGAAAACATACCAGCTACGATATATCATTGCTGGAGGGTGGAATGTGGGACATGTACGCGATGGCAAAGCAGGCCCTCGTTCAGTACAGAATTTGCTTTGGGCCCTAACAGGGCATGAGATCCTTTTTTGAAGCCTTCGTAATGATTTTAATAAAACTGCAATTTATGTGCCTCAATTCAATCTGCAAGAAGCACCATAATAAAAATCACTTGCTGAAAGCTCATACGGAACTACTCCGTCCTTGGGGTCCCTGCGCAGTGTTTGTCGCCCATTGATCTTTTCTGATTAAGTGGGGTACAAGTGAAAAAAATTCCGTTCCCCGTGTTGCCTACACAATTACTTTGTAATGTGCAATGTGCAGAGGACTATATATGTTCGCGTATGTGGATGGTAGTAATATTTTTAACCCGAGAAGATACGCATGATCTCTCTGGGAATAGTGTCGTGCTTAAGCGGAGAATGCGACAAGACTCTGGTGTATCTCATATGTCATTACGAATGGAGTAGTGTACGTTGTCTTACATTTTTTCGCACCGTCCCTGCTAGCGGAGGATCTTCGACATTTCCCAAAGAATGTTGATAGCGATGCAGCAGATTCACTCGTTGAGAATGGCGAATTGCCATATTAGAACCTCTCTTTAAACATTGGCCGCCAGCAAAATTGCTCTGATAGGAGAAGTGCTGCTCTCAACTATCGGATCACAATCGATTAAGGCATTAACGCTAGCTGGTTTTCTCGAAAAATTGCCCAGTTGACTGCTCATGTAATTAAATACTGTGCTAAAAGGTTCCATCACCAAATCACGGAAATGTACATAATTATGATATTCGAGCTCTGATATCGGTCTCTGGTCTTCAAGGAAGAGTAAGCGCAGACATTGACTGGCACCACGCGAAAAGAAAACACAGCCACAATCGTAGATTATATTTTTACAGAAATGCGCTAAATAGCAACCCATATATGTATACCCAAGTGAAACGTACGTAGAAAAAAAGTTTAAAATGGTCAACGATGGGTCCGTTCCGTGGGAAGAATAAAAGACAGATAATCCAGTGCAGGCTTGTATTTCGTTCCCTCCATGCACTCAAGCTTTGCCTTGGAATTTTACAAGGCTTACACTGAATAATGCGCATGTATGTTCCTGAAGTTGCAAAGCTCACTGGCGGGTTGACGAATCACTCAGTGGTAAGTAACCCTGAAGGTCATCGCGAACAATTCATCACTTACTACGCTTGTCACTGGAGATAGGAAATCCAACTTGGCCGGATGTTGCTTTCTTTGAACGAGGCATTTATTAAAACACATGTCAGCGGTAGGGAAATAAGTAGTCTACACTGAGAGACGGCTGTTATGCGCGCCGTCAGGTTAGATACTGACTTAAGTTGCAGGAAAACTATCTCATGGATTTGAGGATTTCAACGTAAACAGGGGCCCCTGATCGTAAGAATTGTACGCGAGCTCGCTGAATAATTATCTTATATAGAGACAGGGTATCTTATTCGGATTACTGCTGTAGCGTATAAGTAATTCACACAGCAAAAGAGGCATAGAGTCGCTTTAAGTTGTTGTTCTGGCCAAGCCTCGTGCTGAACATCATTCATGCCTCATCATTGGTGCAATGTTGGCAACTGTTGCATCCCCGTGAACAGTCAGTCGTAGAGCCTATTCCTTCCACAAACCTATAAACCATTGCAGTGCAGTGTACCAGCCGCGGCTTCCATTTTATGAGTAAGAAGTGCGACCCATGGCTAGAAGTTGTTAGGCCAGTTCACATTTCCGCGACCAAAAAGAATTTCGGGAGTCATTTTGTATGGTGTGTGGCCCTAGCCTAAAACACCACATGTCAAAACATTTAAAAGAACAAAGGATGTTTTCTTTCTGACATGGAAATGCTTCAGCATATCTTAGTAACCCTTGAATAGGAAAGTATTCGTATTTAAGAAAGGCTTTTGTCTTTATTCACTATCAAGAACCCCTCAAACCAACGCTGAAAATGTGAAAGAGGGCAAAATTCGATGTGTGTCTTTTGTATAGGACTGCATTCCTACCGGTGAGCATCTACGGTATATGATTGAGAAATAAAAATAATTTGGTTTCAATACCATGTAATAGGTTTCAGAACAAACTATGATTCAGATTCTCGAAATTGGGTTTCAACAAAGGAAAATTATACATGTCGATACGATCAAACCAAGGAAAAAGCGACTGAAACACGAAGCCATCTCCCTTTTTTAGACTAGATTACCACATACACCATCCCGTGATAGATTCCGTCCCAGCATTTCTACCACAAGCATAATTCCTGTGTGAGAGCTGTGTACTGTTTGTGTGGCCTCTTATCAGCCGACGCCCCATCTCGGTGATATCTTAGAGGTCCAACTATGGAGTGGTTATTGAGATTTGCTCTTTGCATCTTTCGAAAACCCAGATTGTGCCACTCCATCAATCCTTAGTTCTTGGAAAGCTTCTTCACAGGATGCAACCTCTGATTCCTGGAGCTCCTCAGAGCAAGCCACACAGCCCTGGCGGTCCTGATACATCCATCCTTGTGTAAATACAGCAGTGAAGCCACCACGTTGCTCCATTGCTACGTGACTTGCCTCACTCTGTTGAGCAGCCGTATTCTTGTCACCCGGCTCAGTAATAGTGTTGTAACCAACGGGCCCTTTGCATGTCAAAGGTGTCTTGGGAGTATCAGAGGTTGATGGGCTTTCGGTTTCGCCATCAAGAATGTAGCAGAGATCAACTGCCTGTTGGTAGACGAGATCGGTTTGACGATAATCTAAGGCGCTGGTTTGGAATTTATCAGTGCTTTGGAATTTGTTGGGACGTACTTGAGTGTACGTAGTTGGGATCGAGTGGATTGTTTCCTGGTCCATGAGGCCAAGTGCTACCTGGAGAGCGAAACTGCGCTTTTGAATCTCAGTGAGTGATATAAAAGACATGATTCAGCTTTGGGTGAAGTATTATTTCACGTGTTAAAAATTGATGAGGGCAAAGTGTTGTCAAATACCGAAAGGAGGATGATTCAGAATGAGACTTGAGGGATGTGCTTTGTTTTGCGGGGTGAGAATAGTCAGGCTTTTTGTATTTATATTGTGTATCTCTAGAGGGCGCACGCAAGCAGTATTTGTTGTGCACAATCGTCAAAAAAACTCATAAATTTGGTAAATTATAGTTTTGAATTTGTTTTCTCCACGAGTATGCTGGATGAACATCTTTTCGATATTACAAGTTCCGTACTGATGATTGGTCAAGATACCATTGCCCATGCTGCTCAAACAAGTTCTAAGATTGCAGCGCATGGGGGGGGAGTAAGCAAGCAGTAGGAGAAACGGGCGTTGACCATCGCTGTGGCAATGCTGCACATAGTATGTGGCTTAAAATCATATTTCGTGCAATATTCTTTCCAAGCAAGAAGCAGGGCCTTTGGCAGAGAAAGATCTACATCGCATGTAGGTAAATGCAGGATGGAAGATACGCTCGAGGTAACATAAGTCATGTAAGCCCATGTTCCTTTAAAAGTTCATTGAATTCTCTGATCGTAAGTAAAGGTGTATGTGCCATTAGTAGCATTAAATCCTCGAATCTATTCCCATCTCAAAATGGTAAATGACACGGCATCTCTCTGATCGACAGTATCGAGCCACATTCTCAAATGGATGTTCCTCTACGATAGATTCCGGTTGCACTGGCCTAGCATATTTGGTCGTTCATGTTGTCCTTCCATTGCTACTGTGAGTCAATGTGTGCTCTGACCTCCGTTTTGAGACGAATTCCTGAAGTTGTCATACATGAAAATACCATCTCTACACCGCGAAACCTTAAGATGAAGCAGTTAGAAATGTCGAGACTCCAAGTCCTTCCATTGTTCAAAGTTTACAACGAACAACGATGAGCCCATGACGATTAATGGAGTACAGCTTATTTATTCTCATGGTATTTCTAAGCGAACGGGCTTGATTTGCTGGCCAGGGTGCTTCTGTACTACTGAAACAACATACCAAGTAGGTATTAGAACGTGGGAGGGCAGATCTAATTCTGCAGGGCAATCCATTGCGTTGACAAACTCCGGGTACGGTACCGAAGATGGTACGATCTGTATAATGGGTGATAAAATTGACATTAACAGGAATTTCCGAGCTTGGTCATTCTCTGGTGATTGGCCCAGCCTTTTACCATCCCCTATAAGCATATTTCATCTAGCTCACTCTTCCTCCGAATTAATCCGCTTTGTTATGTTCCCGTTTAAAATTGCAAGTGCAATTTTGTACCAGAGGTGCTTAAATATAATCGAAGTTCCTGTCCTGTATAGTAAATTCTCGATAAGGCATATTTGTTACGTTGAGAGATAAATATATTATCCGGAAACTGCGTTTGTAATTATGACGGAATAAAGTACTATAATGCCCATATAAGGGCGCCATGATTCATAATTTGATTACTCTACCGGAACTATAACCACTCACTGGGAATCCGTAATAACTCCGAGTAGAATGCAGGAACCTATACCTGGAGATAATGTATAAATGCTTTAGTCTTTCATCCAAATCCGTCATGGTGTAGTGGCTAGCATTTCAGACTCTCAAAAAGGAACTCTGAGAACCCGGGTTCAATTCCCGGTGACGGAACATCTCTTTTTTTTGCCTTTTCCCCCTCTTTTTTAGATATTAGTTTTGCCTTTACCGTGATCGTGAATTCACTCCTCCCAAAGAAATACTATCCACACTAGCCGAGTTCATACTTTCATCGAGGAATTCCTGAAGTCGCATCTTAGCACTTTCGCGAACAAGTTGTGTAATATTTTTGTTCAATCGTTGTTTGAGGTGACTAGGCTCTACATTTGTGTTCAAAATACATATGGCTTCTCAATGGTCCTCAAGGGGGGGTGATCAAGGTTACCATCTCGCCAAACTATCAGTATATTTCTAATCCTCCGTTGCTCATTCATGTTATACTTTCTTGAAGGGATGATGTCTACAGAAATTTCTCTTCAGTCCAGCCCGTATAGGGATATCTAGAAGCACAATTGCAAAAATGCCTCATAGGGGTGGGTGTAGTCATGAGTACTTATGCATGAGACTAAGTACAAACTGATCCTGCTGTGATACGTGGGCTTCTGGTTTTAGTCATCGGCTTGGCATGTTGTTGCCATACTCGAGTACATTAACTTCAACGTTAATGTGATAGTGAGCGAACACTGCTCTACGGTCGAGTTACTAACATCTTATGTGATTGCTAGAGGGACAAAAGATGCCCTATAGCGACAAAAGATGCCCTATAGCTTGTCACATGGATCAACTACTCTGGAGATTTAGTTCAACTAACGGAACAGAAAGATGATAGCTATGAAACGCAAGTGGGGGTTCCGGCGGTATGTTTATCACCCCACAATACCCCACCAACGGGATTCGCGATCGATTGGCTTATTCCTGATTCCAGCAAGAAAAGCTGCCCTCACGCGCGACCTCGACCAAGACTGCCAAATAGAAGTAGACCGACGCTCGCTCACAACCGAGACGACGTGAGGAAATGGCTACCGATAACTTAGTCTTTCCGCACCTGTCCCGGGTCTTTGAGCCTGGTCTTGGCCGAAGGAGAATTACCAACCCTTCACTATTACTCTGCACAACGATTTTCTAACTACGAATTGCATACCATGGAGATGACAGGCCCTTGTCTTGTTATACCCCTCACTCACCCCTGGACCCCCCTTCGGCCTACCTGAGACTTTCAACTAAATCTTTTGAGTGGATGAGGTGTTCTTCACGTCCGCCTGAACACCAATCAATGCACCTTTCAGTATTCGCGGCGGCAAACGCCTTAGTACCTACCCGGGACTGAAAGACCTTTGAGCGAGCAAGGACAAACAGTGGTACGGCCTATCACTTCTTTTTTACCTGATCCAGCCTGGCTCTTGCACCCTCTTCTGGCCCGCGATGGATGTCAACAGATTTTTTGGGCCAGGTGAGGTCTTGCAATCTCTCAGCTTTCGCCGATATCGCATGGCAATAGTTGTGCAATCATTAGCGATGATGGCAATTTCACAGCCAGCACGACATTATTACTGGTTGCCTAATCAGTCAGCCGTGAGCAGATATCAACACCAGGGCACGCAACTTTTTACTTATCCAAATTTTCCCATTGAGATGGGTTATAATTTCTGGTTCGTAGGGAACAGTCGGCTCGCACGCAATAGAGACCGACTGATGTATTCATCGCACAAAGTAAATAATGTGTGAATACAATGGGCATCAACACAACCCTGCGGCAGCATAGACATTCTGTGGACGGAAATTCACAAATATGCTACCGGTATTATATGCCATTCAAATTCGAGGATATGATTGCAGTTTTTCTCACATGCGATAATCTTTGGAACTTTAACCACCGCACGAGCAGTCATACATATCTCACTTTTCAAGGTTTATAGTCTCTCATCCGGGTTTGGGAATCATGAATTCCGTTGGCAACGTCTTGTAATTTTCCACGAAATCCGTTCTATAGATAATATGGAATCGTGCCCTTGTGGCTTGTGGTACGGGAGAGTACTGGTGGAAAAACTTGATATGTGGGCATCTTCCAGTCTTCCACCGGGTTTCTTGTGGCATTGATCTTTTTGCATTTGAATATACATGGTGCAACTTTTCAACAAAATTGAGCCAAGCAGCGCAACACCCCTTCCCACTCTGGACGATTCGTTCCTCAACGTTCGATTCCTCCATCATCCGATTCTCATTGTGGCCAGCTCAAGCTCTCCCAAGGAACTCGGGCGGGGAGGACTTCTCCGGACAACGCAACTAATGGTACAATTAGTACTGTCCATTCCAGCACTAAACCAAAGGATATACCTACAATCACAAAATGATTTTTTAAAATAATTATTTTGGATGACATATCCAAGTGCCCAGCCTGCTGAATCTGGACGTTGTCGATCCACTTCAAACGCTCCTTGATCCGATACAGCCCTTCTTCAAGATCCGCCAGTTTTGATTCGGCTTGCGCCTTATTCGCCTCTGCGCCATTTTGCAAGTCATGTTTAATGATATCGATTCGTCGCTCCAAGCACTTCTTGCTTATTCTCAAACGGTCAACATCCGCCTGTGTCGGTAGATGTTGCCCAAATTTTGGCTTCCAATCGCGTGGTGCTCGTTTCCGTCTTTTGATCTTTTGTGCGTTGATGGCATTGCTATTTACATTCTGTTGCATTGGATGATCCATTTCAATATTTCGTGGTTTGAACTGAGGGCGTCTGCGTCGAATGATTAAATTATCATCTCACTTCTTCTGGAGGAGGGGATGGTTTACGCTTTACCTACCTGATATGAATGACAATGACTGGATTGAATTGCAATGGGGAAAATCGAAGGCCTGAAAATTTTCACTTGATAGGGGTGAGTGGATAGGGGAGACAACTTGAATGTGGCATTGATCAATTATATAGATTATCTGGTGGCACAGAAATATAAAGAACTACGAAAACAAGCCGATATTGATTCTTGATGCTGGTGCCATAGGGCGGCGAGCTCTTGCGGATGAACTCCAAGGGAAAGTCCGCTCCCAGACTCAGTCGGATGTAGGATAAATTTTGATTTTCTTGTCCCACGGAGAACCTCTACCATACCAACATTGGACGAGGATTCTGAAAACATCTTTGCATTCACGATTGGTGTAGATACGGCAGCATATTGCGAAAAGGCTGCAATCTGGATTGTCTCGAGCTGTCCACGGCCATATCGTGTCTCTGTAATACATAAACTGAGAGATATCAGTTGCGCATTGAATATAGCGTTCGTAAGATAACTTTTATGGCTATTACCCACTGATAAAATTGAGCATTTTTCTCTGGCACGTTTGATGCAGACTTCAGCTGAAGTAAGACTTCGTATAAACTGTTGTCCAATCACTTCGTCTACAGTATGCATAACTCTAGGTGTAACGTGTGTCAATCAATGTAAGCTGAATTAGAAATACATACCGCATAAATTTGGACTCAGATACCACCCTTCGTTATGGAGTATTTTTTTTCTGAATTTCTGTTATGACCGCTTTCAAAAACACAATTTTATGATCTGGAACCATCTGTCAACGTCGTAATGTCTTTCGAGGTAGCAATCTTATTCGCCAATTACTACGGTAATGGTAGGGATAAATGAATAAATGAATAAATGAGAAAAGGGCTCAAGCCAAAAGAAGTGATCCATTCATCCATATTACCAGCCATGTAGCTATAAACCTACAAGAACAGCATCTCGAACACCATCACAATTTCATCCAGTGGCTTTAGTCTATTAATTTCACTTCGAATCAACACTCCGCTTGGTGGGTGTTGTTACCTCATATGCCAGGAGTTCATCAACCCCGGGTGAAAGATGACACTGCATCCTTTCACGTTATCTTCCCCATCTCTGACCAAGCAGGATTGTCTTATCAGCATGCATACATCCGGCGTTCCCGAATGTAAAAAAAGCGTTGACTTATCCTTGGCGGAATCTGATTTGTTTTCCTTGAAACAATGACCGGTCCCTAAACAGGCAGCGAAACAAAGTTACCTATGTCATGTCTTCCTGGTACTACAGCCGTAGTTAGTATACAAACAAAGACACCCTTTAACGAGCCTTGTGCTCAGGCTTCTGGCTCCATTGAATTGCTTAGCTTTGTATTATTTTCTTTCTGTTCCTATACACAGGCTGTTCACTTAGCTTTCACCCTACTAATCAAGAACACGTCAAATCTTAAAAAATAAAGCTGTCGTTGGCCGTTCATTATGCATGAGATAAGAATTCAGGCCGAATATGCAGTATCCCTATCGTAAATAGAAACAAAAAGTAGGTGTGATAGCCAGACGCTGGGGTGGGTTCTGCACAACAACATGCAGAGCGTGTTAGCATACTATTGGGTACCCGAGACACACTGTGGCTGCTGGCGGCGGAGGCAATAAATTTGGGCGGAATTGAATTTCATGATAGACTATTTGTACAACCATTGATACTCTATCTTGTGGAAAGCTGTGCTATTAGAAGAGCGATCGGTTCCGTTATACGGGCACCCCACACAACGCACAAGTCAAGGCTTACCCCTCCCCCGACCTCCCCATAATGCGCTTGCTACGGCCGCTGCAATTGGTCTCCACGATCGAAGTTATCAAAGGTATGCTGTTATCAATATATATCTCGGAAGACTGTTGCCCGGTGTCCAAAAAGAAAGTATGAAAATGCGAGTGATAAAAGAACGAGGCTTTGATGTTTAATCTTATTGGCAAATGATGTAGTAAAATAGGTCCAGATATATACAGGTTCTGTTTATGTAATTGTATTCCCTCACGGTCAGCAAAATATCGTACATAATATGCTTATGTTCGAGGAATACGTAGACGTGAACAGGACATAAAATTTGGACTGGCTCTGAGGTCGGCCTAGAAATCCTGCTTCAGTTTGTGGCGCTTGCTTCTGGACTAGAATACTATGTATGGTATATTTCTACAGCATGGCGAGACATGTCGCTTCAGAATCAGTGTTTTCACTAGCCAATGGATCATCGACGTACATTTCATTATAGCGGTTTATATTCTCTGAAACTATAAATACTTCACTCCCTGTTTGTTGCACAAAGATCTCGGATTTAATTCTAA